AATGCTTGAGGTGGCTTCCACTTTTCAGCCATAGTTTATTGCTGATACACAGCATGCCACCACGATCTGTGGTAAAGTATATTTACCTGCCCTCTAAAAGGTAAATTTAACTTCAACACAGAGATACCTTACATATGAACTATCACTTTAAAAAGTTGTAGCAAGACATTTGTGTTTGAAAAGAAGCATTTATGAGCCAACCCTGGTTAGTTTTTCTAATCATCCTGGGATAACTTCATGTCATCCTTTAATGAAAAGCTTCATTTTTGCCTAAGATAAACAAACTGGAACAGTTCTACAAACATGGCAAAATTGTACTTTCAACTCATGTTTTCCATTTGGTCAAAGTGAAGCTAAATGATCCATGTAAGGAACTGGTTTCCCCTCCTTCCTCCTTTCACTATAGTTTTTATTTATTATCATTTATTAAATTTGTTTGCCATCCATCTCACCACCTGTGTTATCAAACAGAGTTTTAAAGATATTGCTTACCTTATATGCCTTGGGAAAGGATACAAAACAGAATACTTGACTATTCTGTGGGGTTTTAGCCTTGCAGGTATAGTTTCTGCCATTCCAACACTGAGCAGTGTAGAGACTTTTACATTTTTTATTGATTTCAGCTGCTATATGTATTAATATTTCATAGTGCCTTGGATTCAATATACAGTAAATGAATAAAATAAATTCCATTGTGCTTTATGATGGTTAGCCACACTGAACATTTAAGCAATTGTTTTTTAAGAAGTAAATAAAGAATACTTAAATTTCCCTCTTCTCTGTTGTAGATCTGAAAGGTGGATAACCCATATCCCCCAGTCAATTACTCAGTTCTACTTCCCAACAGACTTAGCCAACATTGTCAAATATGAGGCATTCTGAAAAGTATAATATTTAGAGTATGCATGTTGCCCGCTCTTGTACTATGAGATCAAAAGGCAGATATATTATCTCAGAATCATGGTGGAATCCTATGTTTTGGCAAATCAAGAAATTATATTTCCCCATAGAATTTAGCATACACGGTAACTTGAAGTTGTCACAAGCCTACCATCATCTCAGATGAAAATCATTACCTGAAGCAATTTAAAAGCCAGATGTTATGATGTTAAGATTGTATATGAATTGAGAATAAAATAAAATAGACCATCACAAGTTAGTATATATCTGAATATATTTTGAGTGTTAGTTTTTATTTTATTTTAACTCTGCTGGTGTTTCCAATATAAATCTAATAAAAAGTGCTTAATAGTGAAGGTTTTAGAAGTTTTCCGTGGTTCAAACTCCTTTGAACAGAATAATTTTTTTCAGATGCTGGCTTTCTTCATCTATTTAACTTAACGGTTTCCCCTGTCCAGTCATGTCTGACTCTAGAGGTGGTGCTCATCTCTGTTTCTTAGCTGAGGGAGCTAGTATTGTCCGAAAACATTTCCATGCTCATGTGGCCAGCATGACTATATGCCGAGACACAGAGAACACTGTTATCTTCCTACCGAAGTGGTACCTATTTATCTATTCACATTTGCATACTTTCAAACTGCCAGGTTAAGTAATGAGAACTCACTTGTGCAGTGCAGATTCTCAACTTTCCAGCTCACAAACTCTCCAAGCTTAACTTAAATGCACTCACATATTAAGGGTTCTACTAGGGCCATGATGGTGAACCTATGGCACGCGTGCCAGAAGTGGCACACAGAGCCATTTCCCCCAGCATGCGAGAGCTCTCCCGGAAGGGTCCCACTGCGCATGAGGATGCACCGCCGTCCGATAGCTGATTGTCGGGTATCTGGCGCACATGCGCGGGGGCCATGGGAGACACGTGCGCATTCAGAGACACGCGGCGCTTGGAGGGGATGTGCACACATGTGCAGATGGATGGTGCGGGGGGGGTGATCGTGCGCACATGCACAGAGACACGGTGCATGGTAGGGAATTGTGCGTGCAGGCACAGAGATGCATGGTGCACGACAGGAGAATCATGCATGCATGCACAATGCGCGGTGCATGGCAAGTGGATCATACACGCAGGCGCAGGCACACGGCAAGGGGATCGCGTGTGCATGCGCAGTGGGGTGGGGTCCCAGCATGCATTGCCTTCTGGGTGCTGGCACGCAAGCATGAGCGCACGAGTGCATGTGCAATTATCAGCACAGGAGCCGAAAAAGGTTTGCCACCACTGTACTAGGGAATTGACAATACCAGTTCTAATCGCCTACTTATTAATCTCTTTTTTTTATTAACTTGTTTGTCTTCTAAAAAATGACACCATGCATTGCTCTGCATGCACTGTTTTTCTTTTGTTTTTTTAATAAAGTTTTATTGGGTTTTAACAAAACTTAACAAATAAAACATCTTATTTGAGTACAGCGAGATTCCAGGTTATCACATTTCCATACAGACACAATTTCATATGCATATTCATCTTATGTATTCAACTTCATCTTATCATTCTTTTTCCAACTTCTCCCTATTTCTCCCTTTACTTCTCTTAATTTTCTTTTATAGTTCTCATTTTCTTCTTATTCGATTGCATTTCTTTTGCCTAAATTTCTATATCTTTTTATTCATTATACTTTCATCTGTCTTGTTTACAATTTCATATATTCTCTTCCAACATTATTGAAAAGCAAAATTCCCCCTATGATTGCCAATCGGAGTGCAACACCTTTGGATCTTATAATTATTATCATATGAAATCTCATTAAACATTAAATTTGTGCATTCTAAAATTATAACATTCCAATTTCTAATCTCTATTTTATATCATGTAACTCATCATTCAGATTCTGCTTGGTACTTCCCCTTGAAAATACACAAAAATAATTCTAAGAAAATAGCAAATATATATATGAAAATTAATAAGCAAGATAATTATTCAAATTCATTCTAGTACTGGTATGGATTCCCTTATAGATCTTTCACAAGAAACATGCACTGTTTTTCAGGCATTTATAAAGACGTGACATTTTGCTCCGAACAAACTTTTCCAACTACTTCCTGGAACACTGACCCTTAGTTACTGTTCAGACCACAGATGGACCCACAACATTTGTTGGTGACCAAAAAAGAAAAAGAAAAAACTTCCTTGCCATCTCTGTGCTTTCAGCCAAATGTTTTGTGAATGATGGTGTTTCAGGCTATTTTAGTTGAGGTTAGATGTTCTGTGCAAATGCCAGCACGTGAAGTGAGCTCATAACCATAATAGTGGCAGTAAACTTGTTTTGGTCTATATTTTTATGTTATGTGCTAAATTCCTTTCAACCAACTGATGTGTGGTTGGCAAAAGTACACTAAGTGGCACTGCGTCCTTTCTGCATTCTTGTTAAAGATAATGCTGGAAGATCATGAAATGCCTATAGATCTATCATATTAACATAAAGATGCCAAACGCACCTCAGATTGTAATGAAAAGATCCTTTCTGTAGATGTAACAAGGGAGGATGGAAGGTTAAAATAACTTAAACCCAAAGCAAATTATAGTTCTTTTAATAATGCAAAAATTATGCCAGCCTTGGTGAAGTCCAAATTGTAACAACTCAAATACGCTACAGCTTTCTTTTTTAAATCTATTGCTTTACCATCAAAGTTTCATAAATTTGTTATTGTTAATGTAATAGTGTCTGTACGCTCAGCAGAAGAACAATTTCTAAAATGAGGGCAGCTGCTTCTTTAGGAAAGCACTGCAGATGTTGCTGATCTCCCTGGCTTGGGAAATTATGCACACTTGTGGTGCTCGATGGGTTCCTTGCAGTTGTTGCAACCAATGACTCCAGACTGAAAAGACAGATGACTGTGTGCCTACACAAAGGCGGCTCAGACAGGACCTTGTATCAAGGTTCTATTACAATAAAGGGCAGGACCTGCTCATCCCCACTATTTTATTCTCCCTGCCACTACTCCAGCAGTTTCTTGTTCCCAGTGGGTGGATATCCAGCATGTACCACAGGCAGCTACATGTTACTTTACATCTTACTTTCTCAACTTCTCAGAGCACCCAAGGCAGAGAAGGAATCCACATAGGGTGTATATAACAGGATTGGGTCTGAACTCAACTGTGGAGCATGAGAGAGGAGAGATGGCCCTGCCTGGAGTTTCATTATTGCCATATCACAACAGAGTTTTTTCAGCTTGGATGATCTTAGGTGTTCTCCATGCAAGTCCTCTCCACAACACTTCCAACTCAACATTAACAGTAACCCTAACATTATTGTAGACGTTATCAACATGGCCTATGTTGACAAATAGAATGGCAAAATAGTAGCTCTTTTTTGCAGGTTTTTTTTAAATGTTTAGCAACATATTTGTAATAATCTTCATTTTTGACTAAAAATGATGGTATTAATATTTGATATCATATCTTACATCTTACATCCCACATCATATTCACTTTGTTTTTGTATCCTAATATAATATTTCAGTATTATAGCCCTTGGACCAACAAACCAGTCCTCTTGTGGACCAATTTTCGGCTTAAGACCCCCAAATAGTCACTGAATCGCATGGATTTATGGTAAATTGGGTAAAATTTGGCACTGCCGTAGTATTGAACTTAGGACCATTGGTTTAACAATGATTCAAAAGTTACAAAGGCTTCAGAAAAAGTGATTTATGATCTGTCCTCCCACAACCGTCACACCCCTGCGCCATCATGTAATCGCAATGTACATGCTTTGCAACCTGCTCACATTTACAACCAGTGTCCTGTGGTCATGTGATTGTGATTTGTGACCTTCCCAGATAGTTTCCAAAAAACAATGTTAATTGGGGAAGCTGGACTCTTTTAACAACCGTTGTAAAAATGTTTATAAAATTGAGTCTGGTCACATGACAACTCGCTTAATGACCACATCACTTAGCAACTGAAATTCCAGTTCTAACTGTGGTCATAAATTGAGGACTATGTGTAAACCTATTAAAATTAAGTAAAATGTGGAAGCTGGCAAGGAATTCACTTAGTATATCATACCATCAATTTGGATTTGGAAAACATGATTACTTACATTCATATTCCTATCCCAGATCTGGATGGACCCATCTTGGCAGCCAGCTGCAATAAGTTTACCATCTCTGCTGTAGGTGCAGCTTGTTGGAATCACCCTTTTGCCTTGAGCTGAACGTGGTTTAAACACATTTTTATGTTTTTTCTCATTAGAGACATCCCACATTCTTACAGTCCTAGGGAAAAAGCACAGAAATAATGCAAATCATTATGCATTATGTATAGGAATGATGGTAAGTACATTCTAATACATGCTTACACATAATATTCTCTCTCTAGCTTTTAATTAATAAAATTAATAAATTGTGAAAGATATGTATATATCGCCCTCTTGTTAAGCAACACAGAGAACAGCTATAAGGCGAATCTGTCAAATTCTTTTTTCAAGTGGATATTGCTTCAAATTCTACCCATTCTTATGTGAACTTAAAGAAAAAAATAATAAACAGAACTTACAATAAGCAAAAATCAAATGTCCAAAGAATCACGGTGGTACAATGGTTAACAGGACCAGAGAGACACTATATATATGATTCACCTTTCTGATCTGCTGTCTTGAGGAGGCAATAAACATGGAAATAATGACCTGGATCCAGAATTTGATACAAAATTCACTGATGAACAGTCAATTGATGAATGGGACCTAAGTGGGACCTAAGTAAGTAAAAAAATGGCTAAGCATGAAGTGATTTTCCTTTCACCTCACTTTTCCTCTGTTTTTCCACACATTTTTTTATTTGTTCAATGTGTAACCATTCTTCTTGACTTAGCCAGCGAAACAGGGTGGATTAAGAACAATGGGAAAGAACGGCCTCCTGAAATTAATCAGGCCAGTGTCTTCTCAGTGCCTGAATGAAAGATTGCTTGTGAATCCCACAGATATTATATTGCAATTTTATGGCAAAGATGGAGAACCTCTAGCCTGCAGATGCTTTTGAAACTACAAATCCCAGAATTACTATCAGCTGGCTCAGTAGTGGGAGTATAGTAGTGGGAGTATATCCCATTATCTCAGGAGTGGGAGTATACACCATTCTTGCTGTATGGGAATAAAAATGGGATAAAAGTGCACAAAATAAAATATGCAAAGTATGTTATGTAATTGATGGAGATTAATCTATCACTTTGCTCTTTTTATAAACAGAATTGGAAAAAGTATTTGACATTTTCTTCTTTATCTACATAATGAAGGATGTGCATTGCTTGGACTAATTTAAAAATGCTAGCATTTGTAAAAACCAAACATAAAAATGATCTACCAAATTTTAACATAAATCAGTCAAAAACACTGACCTTAAACAAAGTGCATTTAAATTCAGTGTTGCATCAGGACTAAAAACAAAACCCTGAAGATTACACAACACTTCTCAGCTCAAAAGGCTGACACGTAATGCACAATACATACCCTGTTTACATGTAACTTTTTTTTTTTTTAAAGTGGTGGGTTCTACATCTGTGGAGCAGATTCTATGAAATGCTTCTAAATGCCAAGAAGTGATTTGAAGCAATTCTAAAAGGGATGGAAATGCTCTTTTGGAAAACAATAAGCATATATTCATGATGTGAGAATGTAAATACTTTGTATACAACTCAATGTTCCTGGGTTCAGTTTTAAGTCCCCTAAATTTGCATTTCTTTTAGATTTACAAGTATTCATATACAATGTGTTCCTCCTATCAGTTGTACAATGAAAAGAACAAACTCAAGAGGCAGCCCTACTGTTACGAGTGATCATGGGGATTTAAAGAGCTATGTTTATTGTTGCCAAAAATACATCCCCCTTCAAGTAGGATTTATAACAAATGAATTTATAAAGAATCCAGGTTGTAAGTAGATCTGAGGAGGCCTTGTTGTAAATCGGGGATTATCTGTATGATGAAACTGCAAACTGCAAATACTTTGATATTAGGAAACAGAAAAAATGAATAAATATAAAATACAAAATAAGCAAAATTAATGAAGCTAGTTGAAACTACTGGATGCACATGAATGGAAAAAGGATGTTACATTACTATGACCAGGGCTCCAATTCTTCACTTCCAAATCTCTTTCCCGGTTCCAATTCTTCACTCCCAATTCTTTTCTTATTTTATCTACTATTGCAGGCAAATGGCAGGCCAGCATAAGATAGTAAACTTGAGTATTCAGTTCTGTGACTTTGCCAATTAAATATGGAACTTTAGGAACGTTAGAAAAGATTTTATTAGGTGATTCGTAACATCTTTTTAAAATGAAAGTCTGATGCATTAGAAATACAAGATGTTGTAGTGTTACAGTATCTTATAGCTTTGAAGACACAAAAGGCCAAAACAGAAGAACCTTAAAACAACAATGAAAGGCAGAGCTGTTTTGAATGGTTGTTTGGCAAAAGATTCTCTGAGTAAACTATGTACATGAAAACTATGCATCTGAATGTAATTACAATAATATAGTCCAGGCTACAGAAGAATTCTTAATCGTATACTGAAAAAAGTTAAAGATTAACAATAAAATCAAAACTGGAAGAGAGAATCTCAACTATTAATATCTATACGTAAGAGTATTTTACTCATTCTTTGGCTCATTGTGGTAGATTTGAATAATCAAGACCTGAATCTGTAATGTTACAGAGTGTTGGGGATGTTGAATATCCCTATAAAAAGAGCTTATAGTGTCTATTGTACTTTTTAATTTCTCCTTCTATCAGGCCAGTTTCCCTTTTGGAGAGAGAGAAAATAAATATTACAAATAATAATAAAAATTTTAATTCCCCCCTCAATCTCTTTCTGAGTCATAATTTTGTGATATTATCGACCGTTGAGGGCCTACTGATATCCTCCTTCAGCTAAGAGAGGTTGCATAGCCCTAATTGTGAACAATGTATAACCTTTCAAATATACAGGTCAGCACACACAGCAGAGAATATGCCCATGTTTCTCTGACCTCCAGAATATTCTATTAAGGAAGAGCTTGATTTCTGGATTATCCTGACAGCTGTACTTGCATTGTCCTTCCAAGTTCCTATCTGAATATATGGAGGCTGGAGAGAGATGAGGGTGTGACTAAATATGACCCATTTTGTCCCCATCTTGAGCATTTTACTGTCTCTGAATTGGATATCAATCAACTCTGAATCCCCCAATGTTATTTTTATGGTTCCTATAGTCCTCAGCCTATTTGACTAATGACCAGAGGTTATGGTCACCATAGCCTACCATCAAGGGATCCATGTATGGGAAAGTCCATAGTTAAAGATTCTCAAACATGGTTATTCTCAGGGGCGGGATTCAACCGGTGTTACTACCGGTTCGGTACTTACGTTTTGCGTATCTAATTAGTCCTACTTTACTACACTAAAGAGAGGCATAAAGTTTTAAAGTGCTCACAAATTTGGAGGAATAGCCAAAAAACTCCCAAGGAATTCCTGTGCACAAAGACACTAATTAACCTAAAACCACAAATTTGGGAACCAAACAGAACTGCTCTCCTAAAGAATTATGGGTCCCTAAGTATAAGGAAAAGGCTTTTTTTTTTTTTTTACAAAGACAAGAGCTAGAGACACAAGTTTATTCTTATAGAATACAGAATATCAGAGTTGTAAAGGGACCTTGGAGGTTGTCTAGTCCAATCCCCTGCCCAAGCAGGAGACCCAATTCCATCTCTTCTTAAAAACTTGCAGTGTTGAAGCACCCACAACTTCTAACGTTAAACCGTTCAATTGATTAATTGTTCTAGCTGTCAGGATTTTTTTTGGTCTTAATTCTAGGTTGAATCTATCTTTGATAAGCTTCCAGCTGTTACTTCTTATCCTGATCTCAGGTGCTTTGGAGACACCCTCACTAATATTGGAAGACTGGCACCATGTTCATCACTGTCCATCATATTCTTTATAGTTCATTTTTTATCATTCTTCAATAGTTTCTTTGATTAAATATATCTTAGCACTGGTATACTGATTTTTTAAATATTTAGTACAAGTGCTTGCTGGTCAAGATAATGTCTCTTAGCATCAGATACTGGAAAATCAAAATATGGAACTATTTTTGCTAATAATAGTCCGTAAATGAGTTACTTTCTGTAACTCATTATTTCAGTAATCACGTATGTTTTCACATTTCAGCAGGATTAATACTATTACGTGTATCCTTGATCCTCTCTGAGCTTGGTTGTTTTCTTGCAGATGTTTCATTACCCATCATCAATATACAACTAAGATCAGAGAGCACCAAGGACCCCTCATTCCAAACCTGAGGGTTTTTTAATTTTTTTGTATAATTATTTCAGTAATTATTTCAAGAATAATTCAAGAATTGACATTTCTGGATACAGATAGTCCTGGATTAAAACGATTCATTTAGCAACTGTTCAAAATTACAACAGCACTGAATAAAGTGACTTACAACTGGTCTTCACACATCACAGGATCTCCAGGGTCATGTGATCAGAATCTGGGCATTTGGAAATTGGCTTGTATTTAGAATAGTTGCACCTTCTCAGAGTGACCGCCATTTGCAATCTTCCCAGCTGGCTTCCGATAAGACAATGGGAAAAGCAGGATTCACTTAATGACTGCATGTTTCACTTAAGAACTGAAGAAATTTGTTTAACAACTGTCGCAAAAAGAAGTTGTAAAATTGGGTGTGACTCACTTAAGAACTGCCTTGCTTAGCTATGGAAATTCCAGTTGTGACCCCCTGTATTTCTTAAAATTACAACAATGCAGTACAAAATGGCTAGCTGTAACCACTAAATCTCTGTGCCCTAATCTCTTGAAGACAATGAGAAAAGCCAAAGCAATACTGTACTACTGTTAAAGGGCAGTGGAAAGCACAAAATACTTAACAACTGTTCTCCTGGATATGAAGAGGCATACCAGGCAGTTGAGTTTTGCAGGGGATCTCATTATTATAATTAAGGGGATATTTGAGAAATTTACTTTGAGTGACCATCAACAATTTAATCATAAACCAGTCTGATGCAGCACCGCACAAAAGAAAGTAAGAGTGAAACACTGAGAAAATGGAGCAGTCCCTGAAGATCCTAATTAGTGAAGGCTGTAAATAACTTTGCCGTTTATTTGGGTTTAGAATTATCTCCACCGAAATCAGGACTTTGGACTGAGACTGACATGAAACAGCCATTACCCCCCCAAAAAACGATAAGGTTCTCAAAAGGAAATCTGTACAATCACAAACGT